CACGCCGCGCCGCCCACGCGTGCCCCGGGTTTTCTCACGGGGGGGGGGAGATGGGTTGTGCTGTTCTCAAGCTAATTCACACCCTCTGGCACCCAACACGCAACGGGGAAGAGCAGCGACGGCACCACCCAGAGGGATTTTATTGAACACACATGTTCAGGCACGTACCACCGCGTAACTGCACATTTAACTCGTTATCGCCGCAGGTAACGAACGACACGCGCCAACGCGGAGCCTTCACTGACCAGGGTTCTGCCATTCCCTGACCATCTCATGCCACGTTCCAAATGTATCTGTGATTATGAAAGAGAAAAAAGAAGGGGCGGGGAGGGGACCCCAAACCCCCCAAAACCCCCCAACCAACCCCCCCTCCCACCGATCAGAACCAAACAGGAGTGACCTGACCCGGTACCGTAAATTTCTGCTTTCTAAACTGTTTCTTCAAGAAAAACAGTACTCCGTTTTACTAAATAGTAATCTATTTAGGGAAACTTCCAGGGGTTTTGCCCTCCGTCCCTTCGCTGTAAGATGCGGAGCAGATCACAAAACACACAAGGCAGTTGAGAAAGAGGTACTAACAAAAATCAAGTGTTTTCTCTGTGCACCATTCTATACAATTTTAAATATAAAAAAAATATTAAAATGCTTTGTATATACAAGCCTATGCAGTCACAAAAGAGACTGTGCTCTCAAATGAGATGTCTACAGCAATTTTTCTTCTGCTAATAATACAGTGGTATCACATACCACCAGATTTCAATTATTTAAGCCCTTCATTGATGCACTCTTTTTTTATGACATACAAGAAATCACACGTTGCTGGAAAATACAAACATTAGTTTATAATCAACATGATCTGTTCTGCCTAGCTCTTCATTCTGCATCTTTTTCTAAGTAGAGGACAGGCAAAGAACACGTGGAAGTTGTTCCTGCCTGAGGGGGGTCACAGTGTACACCTCTCGAAGCCAGAGGTAGTGGAAGAGTTAACGGTACGCACATCAAAGTTTCTTCCCCTCTCTCCACTCATTTGGATGATTTTTAAAACGTCCTTTTTCCCCCATGGTATTTAGATTAAACAGCACCTTTGGAAGCTTTAAAGAATCCGGAGATACAGGAGAGTTTCTTTTGATCACGAGGAACAAATACGTAGTGTGAGAAGCGTAACTCCACCCGGGCACAGACTCTTCACTGCACAGCTGACCTTTCCAAGACTCAGAGCTCTTCTCTGACGAGTACAGTTCACTGTTGCTCATATTTAAAAAGAAAAAAGGAGCAGGGTGGTACCTCTTCACGGCTTATCTGTATCACCATGGAATACGAAGTAAAATTTCTATTGCTCCGGTTTAAGTTTCTGAAGATACTGTTCCTTGAGGACATGCTTTCTTCTGCTGCAAGCTGGCGCATGTCAGTAAGTCCTAACGAGCAATGCTGGTTTATTGACTTAGGTGGAGGTACAAAGACAAATTTGTTCCTATAACTGCTTTTTCTTCTCAGATCTCAGGCTACTCAGTGCCTTGCATGAAGATGGCAAAAAAGCTGGTGAAAAGTGCATATTCTGACTTCAAAACCAGTATAAAATTATTCAGAATGCACATGGCAGCAACCAGTGACCTGTGTCTTTACGAATATTATTTATTTGTTTTTGTAAACAACCTTATTTTTAAACAAATTAAAAATACATTGAAAAGTCTCTCTCTGTCTATATACACAGTACATGTTCAAACTTCACTTCATTGTGATGCCACAGTTTAAGCAGAAAAACAGAAGTCCTTGATCCAAAGCTCAGTCGCCTTACGACCCCCTTCGGCAGTACAGCACGCCACGCTGCCGCGACCCGGTCCCTTCAGGAATACTTCATTTGTCGTTTATCACCTGAACCGTTTTTCGGCCATAGTGGTAATAGCTGTACGCAGATGTTACTGTTGTGAGAGCTGTGATGCACCTTTGGGGAAAACAGTTCCTGTAAGTTGTTTGCGTCCAAGTACGATAATAAAAAAAAGTTATTTTTAAGCGTTTTCTGTATTTTTCAGTATACAGTCACAGACTACGTCCTACAGAAATGCAGTTTACAGTTTATATGCTGAAATTCAGTACTAAGTGGAGGATGAGATCTACAGAGGAACTTCCATTCAGCACTACGCAGCATGCTTCAGTGTAATTGCATACTAGGCCAACGTTTTACCATATTAGCGCTTGTTTTAGAGAAGGGAAGACAAAAGATTCAGTATTTGTAGCCTGCGCAGTTTTTACCAGCTTGAGAACTGGCTGACATCAGAAACTATCCTTTGGTTGTTTGAAAGGGGAACGATCAAATCATACAAGGCTTGAACTTATTTTACCAAGTTCCACAAGTTTCGACTCCAGCCTCTTTTGTTCCCTTCCCAGATGCTGGGTAATAACCGTATTTCTAAATTAGCAGTGCTCTTCTGAGTTAAAAGCTGCCAGCACTCAGGTGTGAGCCACCACTATAGTCCGGCCCCTCCATTGCCGCTGCCCTCCCTGGACACCCAGGTCATTTCTGAGAGAGTTTATAGAAGACCCCGGTAAGCTACACGCAGCGTTTCTGCGTTACTCACAACATGGTAACTCTGTCTCAGAGTCCCAAAGAAGCAGCAAGGTAAGCATCTTTCACAGACGCAATTCTAGATTTGGCTTTCCAACAAGATGAAAAAAAACACACTGACTGTTAAGATCAAGGTTCCTAGTTCCTTAAAAACTTTGAGTTTTTTTGGGGTTTTTGGTAACACCTGATCTTCCACTGCTTTAAACTAAGTTACTAAGTAATGCTGCTATCTGCTGTTTGGCCTCTTTGTTCTGAACTCTTACCCAGCTGCTCAGGAGAAGTAACTGCACTTTCAACACCTGCTACCAGCTAGTTCAGATTCAGATACAGCTCAGATCTCCAGTGACAGCAGTGAAAGGAACAGCCATTATCTACGGAGGTACGCTCCTGTGTGCCTGTTTTCTTTCAATCTCTCCCCTTCCTTCCTATAGTCTAGCAGGAATCACCAATTTCTTCACGTGCTGTTCAGAGGGGCTTCAGAAACCTAGATTTCAAGATAGCAGGTACAGTACAAAGCAAAAATAAGGAAACACTTCCTGCCTATTTTTACTGATAGCAAGGTTGCTTTTTCAAGGACAGTTCTGGCACAAACAAATAAAGAACCCATTCAGCCTTTCTTCCCATTCCCTTCTTTTCTATTAGTCTGAATTTACACTTCGCCTGCGTACACCATGTGTATTCTAAAGACTCGTTTCTTAGCTGTTATTCCTGGATCTTGACTAGTTTCATTTGACTACTTTTTTCTTGCATTGTAAATTAAGTACCAATAAATATATAGCTCCTGTGTCAGTTAACAATAAATGTGTAAAAATCCAGGCATGTGGGTCTATTACATCATCTGGGCACTGTTTTTGTGTTCCACAAAATTAGATTAATCTCAATTACGAGTTTCTTTCAGAGTACATTAAATTATGTGAAAAAAAATGAAGAGAGAAGTTACCATAACGTCTGCAGATACACGCTGTCCACGAAGACAGGAAATGTGACCAAAATGAAGACGTGTGCAAAGCAAGTAATACCAATTTACACTTTTATTACTGGTTTAAGTATTAGTCTATACACAGAAAATTTATTTAGAACCCTTTTTTAACAAAGCATCTTACACATTCAAAATTAGCACGTGCTCTGACAGAGTACATTTGAAGACCTTTTGGGATTTAAGTTGCCCCCAAATTACCTGGCACTACTTTGAAACTGCACTCAGCAGTAGTAGTAAACCACTCCTCCCTTCAAACTACACACCACCCCAAGTATTGAGGAGTTACCTTCCGTAACGTGTTACTACTCTTACCTTGCTAACGAATGTTGGTTTTAATTGGGCAGTAGCATAACAAGGGTTAAAATACCTACTGAGTGTTCTCTGTTGGAGGAGAAAAGAGAAGAAAAACAAAGGCAATTCTAGTATATTGTTTGATATACCTCTTCGCGTGATACAGAAGTCAACCGTAGCACTAAAGAACTATACCGCTACTGCTCTTACATGATTTATTACACATCATACACAGGAAAAAAAAAAAGTTATCAGTAGCTCTGACTCATCTTTATGAAATCCATTTTATGAAAAACTGTTCTGCTTGCAAATCTATCTGTCAAAAGAACAAATACAGCATTACATCCTATGATATCCACCCAAGTTTTGAGCAACCAACAAATCTCAAGATGAAAATCTCTCAGCTACAGCTTTGGTAAAGGTTTATTCATTCTTTTTATACTTGTAAAAATACTGAAGATAAGACGATTACATGTTCACACAATTTTGTTTAATGCTACGCACTTACCGGTGGAGAAAGAGTTTTGTATCGCACATAAAAAACAGCAGCAATGAGCACCACATCCCTCAGAATGATCATGGAAGTAAGTGAAACTGAAAAACCAAGCCAACAAGATCTAGTGAAAAATCACATCCACAATTAAAACCAAAACAAAAATCAGAACAGGAAAAAATATGAAGCAAGAAGAAATAACCACTCTCAACTGCTTCTGAACAAGTTTTATGTATGACTGCAGATTTTTAAGATGACTTCCAAAAGGGTTTCATCTAAAGTCTTGAAACAATCCAGTCTATGAGAAAACTTTTTACACAACTACTAACTACTACTGCTCCAAAGAAAGCACATTTGAAACCAGTAGTAGTAATGCTTTTTGTTTTGCAGGTCTGTTGTGGTGGGGGAGGGATGTTTTCTAAGAATTTAGTAAGAGCAGACAGCAAAGTGCAACTGACAAAGCAAGAGTTTCAAGCTATACACAGTCTTCTTTCTAGATACACAATAAGTACTACTGTACATAAAATTAGCTTCTTTGTCCTATATAGTACATGCAAGTAATCACATTTTCTCACCTGGGATAAGATTTGCACAAGTTAGGCTTACGTAGAGCACACTGATGAGAATTTTATCAGCCAGAGGATCAAGAGCACTTCCCAAAGCTGATTTCTGATTAGCCCAGTTTCGTGCAATAAATCCATCCAACTAGGGAGAACAAAGTTCAATGTTTGTCTGTTAGAAAACTAAAAACAAAAATAGCTTATACATGCTACTGTTACAGAGATCTCTCATGAATGACATCGCCTAACACAGCCAGTTCAACTAAGATGAGATATGATACCTGCCAGCTGATATTTGTATCACGCTTTTTTCACATTACATTCCAGGTTCTGGAAGCCTGTGAACATATTCACTTCTCATTATTTAAAAAAAAAAAAGGTAACTGATATTCTGAAATTCGCAGAGTTATTGCCACAACGGGTGCAGCAGGCAGCCCTGCACAGGGTAACGGACTGCGGGATGCCCGAGCGCTGACCGGACAATGCCCGCCCGGGGCCGGGCAGGGACCCCTGACACCCCCCCGTTGCTCCACCAGCACTAAGTCCCCTTCGGCTGCCTGTGAGCTCCCCTCGCAGGGTTGCAAAGGATGTGTACACCGTTTATAGAAAACAATCTAAAACTGAATCTGTTTATTCATTTCCATTCTGCACCAGAAACACCACATGCCAACGGGATCGCCGTAACCCACGCTACCCCCCCGGTATTTCCAAACCAACGCAAACGTACCAAATCCGTGACGCCAGCCAAAACAAACACGCCGAGTGCAACGCTGAAATTCTCCTCGACGATCAAATAGCCTAAAACCGGCGCCAAGCCCATTCTCGCCATCGACAGTATGTTTGGGATCGTCCAGGGGTTTTCATACTGCAGAGCAAAAAAGCAAACGCTGCAGGCCGGGAAGGCAAGCCCCAGCCTGGCAGGCAGCGCGGTTCATCGCGGCGAGCACGCACTTCCAGGCCGGGGA